GAGAGCATACAACTCAACAGAGACTGTCACTCAGGTCCACTCAGCAATGTAAAATTCGTTCCCCACCAATGCCTGAAAATCACAGTTTTTAAAGAAAATGATTGCAATGATTTTACTTTCCTTGCAGGAAATTAAGCCCTTTTTAAAAGGGTAAAATTACTGTGAACAAAGACTTAAAATAGCAGACTGTTGCATCTCAACAGAAGCATCTGTTTATGTTAGAACTGAGCTGTCATAGCATCTCTGATATTTATTTGACATCTCAAAATACTATCACAGCCAAGAAAGACTTTTGAAATGTAGTCACTACTACACTGTAGTAAAACAACAGTCAATTGTGTGCTAGAAGCTCTCTTGAATAGTAATAGGATAATGCCAATAGGATAATCTGTTTAGCAATGTTTATTCAGAGACAAATATTGGCCAGTTTTCTGGGTGGACAGTAGGAGGGAAACTGTCCAACTGTTCTTTGAAATAATGTCTTTATGCCCACCTAAAGAGAGGGCATCTATTAAATATGTCATGTGAAAGATGGATGTAAAATGCAAGTGTGTAACTCCCTCTATTGAGAATGAATATTGCAATTAACATTTTTGAAGTTTTACTGAAGAAAAATATTCCAAGTAGACACCTGTTTAGATGAGTTCAGTTCAGTTTTTGAAACCAGTATGTGAGCCCACGGCTCATTGTATACGTACCTGAACACCGGTGACAGCTTTCAAAACTTATTTTAATTAACCTGTTCAAGCCTATTATGACACAGCTCTGGGGCAGGTGGGACTTGAATCTGAACCTTCTGGCCCTAAGGAAGAGACCCCTCTGCTAATAGTTTTCATGTTAACAAAGTGTTGGCAGGTCAGTTGGACTTTTTAATCAACAATACAAACATTTAAAGGCAGACTAGTTGCACGCATGAGGAATTTTTGAACTTTTAATCGTCTCATTTGACTGTCAGCTCGCATTATTGAAAACCTTAAAGATGTATTCTTAAACAAAAACACATTTTCTTTTTAGTAACAAGCTGAATGTGCTGTCAGTTCTTCACTATTTGCAAGTTTGTCTTTCTTCTGCCCATTAACAAATTTATAGGGATTGGAATTGGATTTTGATAGGGAAGGGGGATTTGAGGTTTGGGAGAAAAAATCTTGGATGGTGAGCGTAAGAGGAGGGAAGAAAGATTTGATGGGATAAGTAGAAAGTTTTGCCATGAAGAATGTTAGAGAGGATAGAATGAGGGCATGACAGTTACTGGGAGTGGAAAGTTAGGGGAGAGGTTTAGAGAAGGTCAGTTGGGATGAGTTAGAGGAGTGATTTTAGTTAACTTGTCCAGACACATGTCAGGGGCAGATGGGACTTAAACTAGTGTTTCCTGGGTCAGAAGTAGGAACATTACCACTATACTGCAAGAGCCCCACACCCCAAATCAAGGAAGAATGAGATTGTTAACAATTGAATACCTTATTGAGAGTCTTTGCCCAACTTTGTACTGTAGAGCCCCTGCCATTATTTGTGAAACTGTAGATCAATGAACTTTGCCACAGTTAGTGGAGGAGAAAAGAATTTAGGTAGATTGAGAAAAATCAAAACTGAAGCAAAGTGCAAAATCAGACAAAAATGCCCTTGCTTTTCAACCAAGTGCCAAAACAGCTCCTTTAAGGTGCTGCAGTTTGCCTCTGCCTCCTCAAATATTTCTAAATATTCTCCCCACACTTACTCACTAGGATTAGTAGCCTGTTATTGTTGTTTTTATTTGCTTCTTTTAAAGAAAGTAACCCATTTAACCAATGGCTGCTCATTCCCAATTCTAACTCATAAAGTGTGTCTGGGTGTTTCTGATCACTGTTTTCTATTGGTCCCTTAAAAAAAAACCTCAGCCAAATACATGCTGTAAATGAAGCCAGTCTTATTCATCACTATTTTTCAGCCAACCAGACTGATTCTTGCTGCTCTGTGACATGAGGAAAGCCTTTTTTTAAATACAATGGTTATGATCTGGAATGCATTGTATCATAGCTTTCAATGGGATTTAGTTAAGCACCTGAAAGGAAACCATTTGCGGGACTATGAAGATATGACAGAAGAGGCAGAATCAGCTCAACCGCTATTGCAGAAAGCCAGCACATGTTTCAGTTGCGTAACCACTCTATGGATTTGTTCTATTGTTTTTGCTTAAACAAACTCCTCTATTTTCATCAGAGAAGCAAGAATGTACATGTCAATGTTATTTCTCATTGTGCAGGAATATTTTGTACTCCAGTTATTCCAAACTACAGCTTAGTTAAATAATGGTTGTCAGTCCATAGTCTCTCAAAGGTTCAACCTCTGCAAAGCCAGTGGTACAAGTCTTAAAGTTGCTAAAAATAACTTTCAACTTTTGTATTCTTCCCAAGTGAATTATCCAGTGGTTCAGTTGTTAGATCTCCTGCCGCACAAACAATCTCTTGAAAGTAGGACCTTTAATACAGTAAAATATCACAAGGGAGTCTCATATTTGATGCTCAGCCATGTGAGGTGATGTTAGGGTAGATAGCCAAACGCTTTTTCAAAGAGGAAGGTTTTAAGGAACATTTTAAAGGAGGAAAGAGGTGTAGATAGTTAAGGAGGTTCGGAGAAGTATTTCCAGATCTTTGGTCTTTGGCAACTGAAAGTAGTGAAAGTTAAATTGTAATTTCCTCAGTACCACAAACTTGAAGTAAGGATGCAGCAAGGTTATGGAGAGATTTGAAATCAAAAAAAGTGAGGATTTTAAAATAAATGAAGGTGTTGCTTAACTGTGAACTTTTATTGGGCAGCGAATATAAGGATGAAATGGCAACAGGACTTAGATGAGTAAGGATACCACGGTAGAGTTTTGGTTGACCTCAAGTTGACAGAGGGTAGTATTTGAGATAGAAATGCCATACTAATAATGTGCCTCCTGGCTTCCAATAATCATGTGCCTATCACCCTAAGGCACTCACTGTTGTCATCCATGTTACAGCAACTTTAATAAATACACAATGAGCTAGATTATTGTCCCATGATCTCATAACACAATGTTAAGGTCAAGCTTATATGGAGTGTGGAAAAGCTGTATAGAAGCACTGCTACTAAAAGAGGAACATAATCCAGAATTGTTGAAAACAACTAAAAGCAATAAGAGACCACAGAAAATAAACAAAGAAGACCAGAGCTGAAAGTACAGGGCTACAATGTTCCTGTCCTGACACCGTCAAAATGAAAGGTGACTTGAACCAGAATTGGCTGTTTTTCTGCTCAATTACAGCAGATTTAACTAATAAAACAGAGCAGCTAAAAATAGCTACAGTTTTATCACTATTGGAGAGTGACTGTTACAAAGTGTATTTCTATTCTAAATCTCTCTGTGGAATAAACCAAAAAAAAGGCAGAAGTTTTAAAGATCTTGAAAGCACACCTTGGCCCTCAAGCAAACATAACTTATGCATGGTGCTTATTTAATATGAGGGCCAAAGGCAGAAAAAAAAGCTCATTGATCAATCTGTGATAACATTAACACTCCTCTCAGTAACCTGTGCATTAGGGTAACAGACAATCCAATTATAAACAAGATTGTAGTAGGTATAAGAGATCCTACGTTGAGAGCCTGTCTACTGAGAGAATAGAACATATTTTCAGGAAAACAATCGCTATTGCAGATGTGCTGAAGCTAAAGCACCTTCATGATAGACCAAACTAAGGTTTGCATTAGGTCAATAGACATTACACACCAAAAAGAGCAAAAGGTCAGGGAAAAAGGCAGGAAGCAAATACTTGAAAGGACATCACACAAAGATAAAGAAAGCATGTCCAGAGTACAGAAAGCATATTCTCATTGCAAGAAGCTAAATCATTTTGTGCACAAGTGCTTGGCTAGAAAGAAGCTGGGACAAATGGCTATGTGAGAGATATCAGCCAAAGGTTTTGACAAATCACTTCACAACGTAAAACAAATTGGTTCAGTCAGGTCGATAGATGACAACGGCTGCAATGATGACTACAGAAGAAGTATGTCAAGTTTTTAACATGAAGTGTCAGACAGACATCAGTGTGTCATGCAAAATCATGACCTTCAGAGATCTCAATATGGTGATCCACAAATGAAGCCCTCAAAACTAAAGTTGAGGCTATGTGATGGTACCATACTTGTGCTACACGAACAGTTTATTCTCAAGAAGCTAATGCAATGATTAGAATGAAAATCTGCAGTTCCTTGTCTTGGATGGTAAGCAAAAGCCACTCATCTGACCTGGTGCAAGTTTAAAGCTTCGGCTGGTAACACTCAACATTTCAATAGAGATTTCCAGCATATGGCATTATTGACCACGGAGTTGATCCTAGAGGAGTACAATGATATCCTTACAAATCATCGTTTCACAATACAGAACTTGAGTCCTGCTGGAAATTGACATGTTTTTCCAAGGTGTTGACAATTTGCAAGAAACGCCAAAGTAAGGGAAAACAACAATTGCACTGTATGAAAGAAGATTGTTGATTGGTTGACAAGTGGACTCTGATTGGTAAAGGACAATGTACCAATTAATGATTGGTATATGCCATACTTTATTTAAATAGGTTGAGTCTGAAATAGGGCTCATAAAAGCCATCCTTCAGGATAATGGCTGCCTGACTTCTCAGTATATATTCTGCAAAATCACACATGGGCCTAAAGCTATCAGTTTCAGTGCTGAAAAGTAGCCAGCCTACCACAGATTTCACTGGCAGGATAAGGTATCTCAAAGCTTTAAGCAGCGGGTGATGGTACCTTTTTCAAGCTTCTACTGTGCAGTAGCATCACGAGTGACCAATAACTGAATGCTGCCGTGAAGCCAGAAACTCATTCTGCCTATCACACAAATGAGTAATGCAGTTTATGAATTTCAGTGCCTGTGACACTAAGAGTGTAAGCCATATATCCCAGTGAATGGCAGATCATATTAAACATACCCCTTCAGCTGTTTGCAACAAGCAAGACACTGAATGTACCTAAAAGAAGGGAATATTCAGGGAAGTTACAACTCCAAGAGAATGGTTTAGCATCATGCTAGCAGTGAAACAACCTGGGAAGCTGAGAATCTGTATACAACTCTGAAACGGGACGAGGAGATCTTTTCAATCATTAAAGGAATTTTGCCACAATTTGAGAAGGCATTAATCTTTACTATGCCAGCTGTGAAGGATGGCTACTGGTAAGTGAAGGTAAATGAAAACAGTGTTATAACTGCGTTCTGAATGTCAATGAAGAGATGCAGGTGGTTGTGCATGCTGCCAGGAATTTCCATAGCTCCAGATGAGTATCGATGCAGGTATCACGAGATAGTTTGAGAGTTTCCTAGAATGGAAGCAATTGTGGATGACCTGTTCATATATGGATGTGGAGACACAATAGATGAAACCTTTGCTGACCGTGATGTAATTCTAGTACAGCTGCTTGACAGTGCTTGCCAGATGAACCTGAAACTGAAATGGAAACCGAAATGATTGCAATTAAAGTTATCCAAAGTACATAAGTCATGTATCACAAGTCTTTGCTCAGATTCCAAAAAGACAGATGTAATAGTAACACAGTGGCCAACAAGTGACAAAGCAGTTCAACAATTTGTTGGATTAGTCAACTGTTCATCAAAATTTTTGCCCAGTTTGTTGTCAGAGTGTGAGACATTTTGCCAATTGATTGTCAAGGATATCGGCACTTAGCAGCTTTCATTAAAATCAAGCAACTCATGATGGCAGTGCCCATGCTGAAATGATAAGATGTAAATGATGAAGCCACACTGCAGTGTGACAGGACTTGGAGGCAAACCTAATGCAGTAAGGACGATCCAGTTGCATTTTTTGTCTTAGAATACAGTCCAGAGAGGCCATTTGGACCATCGAGTCTGCGCCAACCCACCAAAGAACATCCCATCCAGACCCAGCACCCCTGCCCCCTTTCCTCATAACCCTGCATTTACCATGGCCAATCCACCTAACCTGCACATCTCTGGACACTATGGGGCAATTTAACATGGCCAATCCACCTAAGGTGTGCATCTTTAGACTGTGGGAGGAAACCTACATAGATACAGAGAATGTGCAAACTCTACAAAACAGTCATCCAAGGCCAGAATTGAACCTTGGTCTCTGGTGCTGTGAGGTAACAGCACTAACCCCTGGGCCACTGTGCTGTTCCTGATTTTTTTCTATTTAGGGTGTTATGCAAATGAAATAATTGAGAAAAATTGTCTGGCCATTGTCTTTGCTTGAAAGAGACAAAATGACAGTGATGTTTGGGAGTAGTGATGTCAAGGACAGTCCTTCAGGACTCCATCAGCATTTTTCCTGCGCTTAGTGACATAGGTTTGTGAATACTGCAGAAGTAATGAAGTGTTAAGTTCCTCTTTAATGTCTGAAGGAAAGGGCAGTGAACAATGTAGCAGTATTGTGGCTGACTGACCACAATGTTCTTTGTACAAGAGAGAGAATTGGCTAATTCAATTTTATTTTCTTCTCAGGATAGAATCTTACGTGCTCTGTAGTGTGACGGTGCAAGCCATTAATGGTACTCTCATGTTTCTCTAAGGTGGGAAGGAGGAAAGCAAAGGGATTTTTATTTTGTCATGCAGTGGAGAAAATTTAAGCTGTCAAACTAAATTTATTGAACAATCAACTTTCGATTCTTCTTACAAAGAAGATGAGCAGGTTTATAAACCTACCAGATTTGGCTAACTTTTCTTTCTCCATAGCATCGAAAGGCAATGATTTTGAGAAAATTGCATCCAGTTTCTTGCTTTTTTGTAATACTTCATCGAGGGTCAAGAGGAACACAGGACTCTATGTGGAGTGGGGAGGTGCCTGGAGCGTGTAAGTAGACAGCACAGAGGGTATGTAAGGTTTAGTGGTGTTCGGGATTAGGATGGGTGACAGCAAGTGAGAGATGATGTTGCAGGCAATAATGAAAGCAGTGGAGCATGAACCTTGGTGGCAGATGGGTGCAGAGATTGACTGAATGTCAGGCATTATTTTATAGGCTTTGGCACTAAAGCTGGCAGAGTGGAGAAGGATGTTGAGCTTGTTCCTATGATGCTAGGCATTGCTCCACGTGGCTGAGTATGCATTAACCCAGGTGGTAGTGTCAGACCAGGCTGGCATGGTCTGCTGTCACGGCCCCCGTTGCTGGGCCTGGGGAAGGAGAAGTCCTGCCGGACCTGTAGGTTCCTAATGTCCCCCTGTCTGGGGCAAATGTGCAGGACAGCTCTGTACTGACAGTCTTTGTGCAGGTACACATAACCTTTTAAAGATAATGCAGGCACAAGGGTTGCCAGTGAATCCTGGCTTACCCTGTTAGTGCTGAGTTAATGTGGGAACAGTGTGTGGTAAGATAGGCTGATAATTGGACATGATACTCTCTGTAAGAGGCAGAAACTCCAAGTAATGCAGCGAGTTTGATAAGATATGGTAAGAATCCTGCTTGATAAAAACTGAAAGAACTGCGGATGCTGTAAATCAGGAACAAAAACAGAAGTTACTGGTAAAGCTCAGCGGGTCTGGCAGCATCTGTGAAGGGAAAAACAGAATTAACATTTCAGGTCGGGTGACCCTTCCTCAGAACTGTTCTGCTTGGTCTGACTCCATCAGACTTGACGTGAATTGGTCCTAGCCAAAACAAACTAAAGCTTCAGCTCTATGTGTGGCGTGCACCTACAGACACTGAAGAGAATAATGAACTGCCAATGCATGAGAACAGTTGGCTGCGTAATATGTAACTTGCTAACACTGTGTAAATGATAATGCATCCAAAGTGTTTTGATGCTTTTATTGTATGAAAAGGGGGATGTTTGGGATAAAAACGCAATACTGTACTGACATGTCTTCTGGCTTCTAGTAGTATGGAACCTCTACTGTGAGGCATAAGCTGGACTATCATCCTGCAAACTGGTAATAGATAGAATGTGGGAGGTCAGCCAGGAGTGTGCGGGAATGGTCAATTCCCTAGGTCATCAAACCAGGAGGATTTTCTTCTGAGCTGAGGCAAGACCGAGTCAGGGGATATTGTGAAGTTGGCAAAGGGCTCTTAGTGATAACACAACTGTAGCCGGAGGCTCATCCCACGGTTAAATATAACACCAAACAGTCTGGCTGATGCTCAGATTGCCAGGGAGTTACTGGAGGCAAGGGAGCTGAATATATTTCCTAGAATTGCTGGTTGGCTATTGTGACAGTTTTGTAACCAAATGCAGTAATATTAGTAAATATTTTTAAAAAGCAAATATACATTACAATTTGTATTTAAGCAAATGTATATATAAAGACCTCTTAGTTATCAATAATTGTTCGCAAATTCAGTTTCACATCTTATCATCATACAGACAGAAATGTAAAAGTACACATGCATATCTGAATATAGGTATTGAGATCACATACCCAAGGACAGAGGTATTGCTATTTTACATTGTACAAAATTCTAAAGGAAAAGCTGAGCCTAGCAGGTCACTTTCTCCTGTCATTTGAGTTTTAATAAAGATCCTGTCATCTCCCCTTAATTTCTATTATACAATACATTTAAACACAAGTTTTCATTGGCAACTCATATCATTTGTGCATAGACAAATGATTACTAGAAAAATTACTGATATGCCTCTCGGACCCTGCTGTTGGATTTCAGTGGTATCAGTATATCTTTCATTGCCATGATCATCTCCAATACCTTTAAAAGGATCTGGATCTTTCAACTTCCAGATCAATTAAAATTGGTGATGTGGTTAGGTGGGCCATCTTTAGGTTTTTTTTTAAACTGATTCACAGCTTTAACTGTCTGTACAAATTCCTGCTGATCACCACTGAACATACTCTGCCCTTTTACTTTTTCTGCATTCAATGACTTCTTTCTGAAAGCATTTCCACAGAGTATATCACTCTCTCTATATTGGGAAAGATCTCCTTGCCCTTTGATTACTCTCGGAGGATCTTGCGTTTTTTTTACCTTTTTCAATGGCAGTTTTTCCTTCTCTCTCAGGAGTGCTTGCAATCAACGGTCTGTTTTTTTTTGCAAATTATGAGTCCAAGATTTGAAAATGGCTCACATTTCTCCAGAGAAGCCTCCATGCTCTCTTTCACATTCCTGGACAGAAAAGTACGAAAATATCATCAGGAAGATTGCTTTTGAATACAACTTTGTCTCTATTTTCAGCATCAGTAGTTTCGCTGAACCTCTGCATTTTCCTTTAATCTTCCATATAGACTGACAGGGGCATCACTGTTTCCTTGCTGTTTGTGATCAAGAATCTTCACACTGTGCCCCACACTATCTTGTTGCTTTGTAGAACCCAGATCTGTGGAATATCTCACTACTTTAAGGACTCGCGTACATCAATGGGCTAAAAAAAATCAAAGTTTGCTTTCAATTAATTGCTACTTTATTCATTTTGTGTAATCTTCACCTCTTTTCGATCTTGGCCTGAGCTATAGGTCGTGCACCTAATGGAACCAGATTCTTTTGAGTTGCCCACAGGCGCTGACCTCTGCTGTTACCTCTGTTCATGCACCTACATCAGTCACAATGGCCTCTTGTTATCATCCGTAGGGAAAAGAACTTCACTCTGGGTTATCCTTCAACAGAATCTGTAGAGAGACATCATTAAAGCGTGGTGCTACTTTTTGCCTGGTCTCTGATCTCTCTAGGGATGGGTGGCAGTGATGAGCAGGAGTTGATGGGTTGTAGAGAATGAAGTGCTGTCTAGGTGTCTTTTAAAGATGGTACCTGGATGTTGGCATCCAGAAGCTATGGCCAGCTCCAAAACATTCTGCCAAAAAAACTTGACATTTCACCCATGCGTGCAAATATAATGAGCTGAGAAGAATGTAATGATATAAAAAAGCCAACCTTTCCCACAAGCAGAAATAACTCCTGCTTTTCAGCTCATCTCAATACATAGTGCTCACCAAGACTCCTCCCACCATCTTTCCCTTCACAACCGACGTACATGGTACCAGTGTGTACCATTTACGAGGTGCCCTGCCATAACTCAGCATTGGTTCCTTTGACAGCACTTTCCAAACCCATGCCAATTTGAAAGATAATGACAACCTGCATCAGAATACCACCAACAGCAAGTTCCCATCCAAGGCTCAGACCATCCAGATTTGGAACCATACCACCATTCCTTTCACTGTCGCTGGGTCAAAATCCAGAAACCCTGTTCCTAACAGCGCTATGGGTGTCCCTACACCCCAAGGACTGCAGCAGTTTAAGAAGACTGCTCACATCATGTTCTCCTGGCAATCAATACTGGTCTGGTCAGCGATGCCCACTGCCCTATTAACAAATAGCCAAGATTGGTATTTTTGTTGTTTTGTGTGCTACTTATACTTCCACAATTCTACTCACAATGTAACCAGGAAATTTAAACCTGTAAACAAATAATTCCAATCACATGTAATTTTCTCAGAAGGTTTTTTTCATCTATCCCTTTATATATACTCTCCCTTACAATATGAATCTGCTACATTCAGTGAGTGGGACCATCAGTTTGGTCACTTGTTCTTCTCACAATGATGGGCAAGTATTGCCTGGAGCATTACATTATCTCAAACACATCCTTCCATGGCTTTCAGTAGCATCATCACCCTTCGGTTATTGTGGTAATCTCGACTTTAAAAAAAAACACTTGCAGGCAACTTATAAACATAACAGCAATCTTTGAAACCTGCAGTCATTAAAAATAGTCTAACAGTTGTACAGTTCTTTGCTAAGAGGAGGCACATTGAGTCATTGTCAAGAAATTATTATAGAATCGTAATTCTAATGAACCAATTTTACATAGAATTCTTCACATCAATGTACTATATTGATTGGAAGTGATGCGACAAGAGCATTTTACTGTCACAACTGTTGTGTAAAAAAACAATCACTCAAATTGTTTCCTGCTTGTTTCTACTTTGTCATTTTCTGCAAATGGCTATGATGCGAAGAAATGGAAATGTTATGGAATTGGTGGTAAATTATTAATCCTCAGGTTATTTAAGAACCCTGTAGATTCCTATTTATCTGTTTATAATTTTCTGCTTGATTACTGAGGCCTGAAAGTTGCCTTGTGTTTCCTCTGTTGTCTGAAATTGAGCTGAAGGACTATGGGGAAATGTGAAACCATCATCCACAAAAAATTCAACCCTATAACTTGGAAGTCCTTTTACTTGCGCTCCCTGCATACCAAACCCGATGGTTCCTATCCCTTTATTGTAGTATGCTGACGAAAACCGTCCGGAAAGCCTGGTGCACTCTGTTAATGCAGTTCTGTCTGTAACATGCTCAGCTGATCAGCCCTACTTTCCTGTAATAAAACAAAGACAGATTGACAGGGCCCTTGGCCGTGTCCAACCCATCTCCTGCACTTCTACACTCACGCCTTCTCTTCCCTCCCACACTGACAGGGTCCCTCTGGTCCTCACTTACCATCCCACCAGCCTCCACATCCAAAAAGATTGTAAGCCACTAGTTCAGTCACTTTCAACAGGATGCCACAACCAGACACACACTCCCCCGCCCCTCCTTTGTCGGCAATCCGCAGGGACCGTTCGGTCAGGGAGACCCTGGTCTATTCCTCCTCCATTCCTGACACCTCCCCACATCCCCATGGCACCTTCCCACGCAATCTCAGAAGGTGGAACTCTTGTCCATTTACCTCCGCCCTCCTCACCATCCAAGGCCCCAGACATACCTTCCAGGTAAAGCAACAATTTACCTGCACTTTGCTCAATCTAGTTTATTGTATTTGCCTCTCACAACATGGTCTCCTCTACACTGGGGAGTCAAGATGCAGACTGGTGACCACTTTGCAGAACGCCTACCTCTGTTGTAAAAATGACCCCGAACTTGCAGTTGCCTGCCACTTCAACACACCACCATGTTCCCACACTGACACTTCTGTCACGGGCCTGCTGCAGTGTTCCAGCAAGCCTCAACCCAAGCTCAAAGAACAAGATCTCATCTTCCATGTGGGGACCCTGCAGCCTCTAGGACTCAACATCGATTTTAGAGCCTATTTCTGTCCTTCCATGTTCTTTTTACTCACCTTCAAACCTTGGGCCCGTCATGACATGTGTTGCTTTCAGCACAGCCTACTCACTTTGTCCTACTCTCAGGTTTCATTATCACTTATTCGGCTTCCCTCAGTCTTGGCCTCCTATTAATAATCCCCACATCTGCCTACCCCTTTCATATCTCTCGCTGGGCTCAGTCTCACTTATCCACTCACCTCTCCCCCTACACCTACCCCAGCATTAAAACCACCTTATCCTGGCTGCGATCAGTTCTGATGAAGGGTCACTGGACTTAAAATGTTAACTGTGCTTTCTTAGATGCTGCCAGACCTGCTGCGTTTCACCAGCATTTTCTGTTTTAGTCCAACTCTTTGTCTACACTCAGCAGAATTTTCGACAATGATTCTGCTTATTCAGATTGGAATAGACCTTATGCTTTCACAGACACAAAGCCAGCTTTCTCTGCCCATTAAGACTGTACACTATGTGACGATCTTCCTGAAATCTACCCAATTCCTTATTTTCTGCACAGTCTGAAGGAATTTGCCATTTCTTAAAAAGTGGATTTTGATTCTAATTAGATCGTAATTTATCACCAAGTTTGAAAGAATTGACAAAGAACCTTTCTGATTAGAACACATTTCTGGATCCATGACTCATATTGCATTTAAGAGGATTCACATATTTGGTTCACTTCCTGAAGGGGTTCTGTCTAATGCTCTCATTGGTTGAATGACAATAACCCGGTATAAAAATCAGTAAAAAAAAAAATTCTCAAAACATTCTTCTAATTTTACGCACTTCTTGCTGAGTAGTTTATTACTTTGGAAAATATTTCCAAAGATCTCATAATGTCTGAACTATTGAATTGCCAGGTCTTAAGCTTCCAGCCTGTCACCACCTGTCGTGGGGACCAATCCCTGTTCTAGTCCCACTTGGTGTTTCAACCTTTGGTTCAAAATAAATAACGAAACTAATGGTTTTTACAAGTTCCACAAATGTATCTAAATGCCCATACAAAACATATTCAAATTCCTTATCAGCAGCAACACAAATATAAAATCCATGTTTGCAATTTCAACTCATGGCAGACTCTCTGTTCATATACCTACTGTATCCTGTACTTTATACCAGTAGTGCTACACTGCTAGCCCACTATAAATGGAATAGATTTCCAAACAGCAACTGACAGCACATTTCAACAAGCATTTTTGCCTGTCTGTGTTGCCTCGCTGAGCGAAATGGGGTAAAAGCCCAATAGCCCCACATAAGGAACAGAAGGGCAGCACAGTGGTTAGCACTGCTACCTCATAGTGCCAGGGTCCCATGTTCGATTCCAGCCTCCGGTGACTGTCTGTGTGGAGTTTACACGCCCTCCCAGCGTTTGTGTGGGTTTTCTTCGGGTGCTCCGGTTTCCTCCCACATTCCAAAAGTGTGCAGGCTAGGTGGATTGGCCATGGGAAATTGCCCATAATTTTCAAGGGTGTGCAGATTAGGTGGGTTACAGGGGAATGGATCTGGGTGGGATGCTGTGAGGGTTGGTGTGGACTTGTTGGGCCGAAGGGCCTGTTTCCACACTGTATGGATTCTATGGAAGTCCACTCACGTCCATAGGTTCCATTTCTTTACCAATTGCAAGAACAGGCTCAGTAGCTCAGTCGGGTCACGTTCATCAGTACCACTTGCCCAGAATATTGAAGTAATTCCATATTGCTCTGAAACAGTGCAGACACTTGGAAAAAGACCCTCACAAAAGTAAGGTAGCAGAAGTTGACAACAATACAGGTTTTCAACCTGTATTTCAATCTATATTTGGATAAATATACTTTCATCCATCAACCTTCAACACTGGGTTTTCCTCTACTTGTACCGTGCTTTACAATAAAATAAAACAAAAATGGTGGCCTGGGGAGGATAAAATAATTTCACAACCTATACATACAGCCATTAATCTTTTGCAAACAGCTACTTCTCCAGCAAATTTCTTTTAAAAAAGAAAGAGATTAGCTGGCTCAGCTGAGCTGATTTTTTTCCTAAAGCCTATTCAGGTAAAGGCCAGGGGTCAGTGGTGTTGTAGAGAATTCCTTGTAATCCTTTAAGTTCATTTGAGATAGTCACAGTGTACATCTAAGCATAGTTTTCCTCTTAGCATATTAAATTCATAGATCATGTGCTTCCTCAATCTTCATAGTTTCTGACAAAACACCTTATAAGATTCCCCAGAGGCTGGTAATCGATAAAGAGAAATAAGGTGGTGGTAGATGTTTTTGTTTACCTTGCACCACCAACCCAGCAGTACCTTTCCGACTTTGTGGAAATGACAGGGTATTGATTAAATTTGCTTGTAACTATTGACAGCACATCAATTCCGCAACAACCATTGACAATCTGTACTGGCTAAGAAACTATGTTTCGCTCCAAGACAAAAAAAATCATTTTATGACAGTGTTATCTTTGGGAAATGTAATCATCTATTGGACTTGGATTCATGAAAGAAATTGCTTTATTTAATCACTTTAAAATCACTTTACATGTTCTTCAAAAGAACATGTAAATACATAGCTCTGTAATCTTTCAACTGTCTGAGCAAGAATAAGGGGCTTCAAGAGAAATTGCCTACATCAGCTTGAGGTGAAGGTGGATCATACGTCAGATATTCACAATATCACAGTCCAACCAAATCCTGCTTTGCCAGACAACCAATATCGAGTGGGAAATGAATAAACTCTTCAGTTTTAAATGTAACTGATTCTGCTTCTGATATGATGAGCTTTTAGAATATACTTTAAAAGACAAAATATATTTGCTACTGTACCTGTGCGAAATGGGATGATGCCATGCCAAGCTGTTATTATGTGCAGTGGTCTCACTGACTCCTGAATCAAAAGTGAAGGGTTTTTTTCAAAAAAAAAAGAGATTTAGTACATAAAGTCATGAGTTGCATTGCCTTTTACAAATTTAAACTAATTTCCATCAGGTTAGAGCAGTTTGCAAAAACAATATTATTGCATCTGAAAATGCATGACAAAAAAGTTTCTAAAAGCTCCTAGCGGTCATCATATCAATGAAGGAAATGACATAAGTGACAACATCATCCTCTTCTAGTCCTGTGTGTGCAAATAACACGCCCCATTCAGGGAAAATGGCCTCCCAGTTCCTCCTCTGGGCTTTAACCATCAATCAAATTACCTGTAGGGTAAGGAGTCCTGAGGACTGAGAGTTCTTTCACAAGATCTTATGAGGGGCTTAATTTTCACTTAGCAACCACATGTCTCTTGCAGGAAATATTCAAGAGTTGGTTTAACTGCATTGTTGAACGGTCATGGGGTCATTTCAACTAATGGTAACAGGTTGAATTCAAGTCAAGTGATGGTTTTACGCCCCAACATTTAACTTTCCGTTGGTTATTGAAGCATATATTTGGTCCTATTATTAAAAAGGTCTCTGGGGGCTCTTATGGTGTTGTGGTAGTGTCCCTACCTCTGAGCCAGGGCCAGGGTTAAAATTTACTTCACCTGACGAAGAAGCTTGTGATTTTAAATAAAACTGTTGGATTATAACCTGGTGTCATGTGACTTCTGACTTTGTCCACCCCAGTCCAACACTAGCACCTCCACATCACGTGCTCATGTATAATATCCCCGGACAGGGAAGAAGAATTAGTAGAAAAAATGGGTTCTTGTGGCACAGTGATAGTGCCACTACCTCAGAAGGTCCAAGTCCCACCTGCCTCAGACACTGCGTCACAACATGTCTGAACCAATTCTATCTATATTCTCAACCGATTTGAAATGAGTTTGGTAACAGCTAGTTAATACAGCAACAATCAGAAGTGAAATATCTGGGTTCAAGTGAAACAGGATTGTGACCCTAAGTTGCCTTGTTCTGGTTGGGTGAACTAGGTTAAAGATAGCTAGGGAGCTCCTGAATTCTACTACCTGTTTGTTGACACCAGTCTGAAGGTTTAGTCCTGTTCAAATAACATTCTCAATTTGTGATAGACTTGGATGTTTTACAAATGTCTGTGCACAATCATCTAGGACCCCAAATGGTTGAATGCTTGACCAGGAAACTATGTACCCAAGTGTGAACATAGCTTGTCATTTCAACTTTCTTGCTTCAGTTGAGTGAATCACATCAGCGTTTAGCAAATGACAGACTGTGGAATAGTTAAGTATTGCGTCTCTGAGGTGGTGAAAAAGCTGACATGGACACAAACTGTCTCATTCACAAGCTGGATAGCATAATAGATGAACAAGGCACGACACAGCCCTCACTGTGGGTCTGGGAAAGTATATAAAATCCACACTGCCTGTTAGGCCTAGTAACAGAGGGCACATAGAGGCATGATGGAGTAAAAGGAGGAGAAAAGAAATTTGCCTGTAAAATTGAATGATCTCACAATATCAAACAAGACTTCATACTTTTATTGGTTTTTACAAAAGCTGTCAAAATGAAATGTAGTCATTCTTTTGTTGCTTTGATTTTATTTTGCATTTACAATCCCTCTGAGTCATATTCTTATAGTTTCAAAGCAATTGAATCAGTTTAGGGGAGACTGCATTCTAATCCTAGAAAAAAGAAGCTTTTTTTCACTCTTGTCTCTCTAACTCTAGTCCACTGGGAACCCTGCACATAAAAACCCTATCAATAATTCAGGTGTTCTGATTACTTTAAAAGTTCCATTGAATTACAACTACAAAAAAAAATGTCTGCTTGACGTGAAGATGAATGTGGATGGACACTGCAGAATGCTGGCAACCTGTAGATCATGTCAGAACAGATTGTAACTTTATCATTCTGTCACATGGAATAATTTAAACCACTTAATCAGTCAGAACCACAGTGGAGGAGGTAACATGTCATGAATTCCAATTTTACAATCTGTCAAACATGCAACAGCGTTAACAATTTTTTTTTCCAGCCCACAAAACTAACCACAATGTTTGTTTCTCTCTTTCTCTCACTCTTCTCTGGGTCGTTCCTGCTGTTTCCAGAAAAGAAATGGTTTACAGATGAAACTGATAACACCTTCCCTAGGAACATTCAGATCAAACCAATGAGCACTCACATGGCTAATCAAATCAATCAGTACAAATCTACCAGCAGTTTGATCCCACCCATCAGAGAGGTAGAAGATGAATGTTGATGCCTGTATGAACTTCGGTCTGAAGGAGAGACTTTGTAAAGCTCCTTTGGCAGGATGCTGGCTTTGACGCTCCATTGATCTTTGTGTTCTATCACAGACAGGTGAAGGATCATGGACTCTACACCACCAAGAAGAAGTAATAGTCTGCCCTTGACAGTTTTCTGCTTGTCCAGCATGGAATCACAGGTTTTATTGGATTATTTTGCTGATGACTTGAAGACAATCGACACAGACTGAATATTATGGCCATTTATGTTTAAAAATGTATTATTTTATAAATGCAATATCTACCATCTTCAATTTTGTAGCTTCGCTTACCTTCTGTTTGTGACCAGACTCTTATTTTGTTCCTCTTTTGTTTCCCCTGTGGAGGATGAAGGTCACAAAATATCAGTTCAATGCACCCAATCCCTCAACAAAAACAGTTTTTAAAAAAACCGTACACTTCTAGCAGCAGCAGATGAGGCTTCCAATGTTGCCTGATAACTAGCATGTTAGCGCTATCAGAATATATGCTGTTATCTATCCTTGTGTTGAGATAGGGCGTAGACCAAGTCCTGTATTAAAGATTGTTCCACATTACAACGTTGCCATCTTTTCATGATCCTGTTCTGATTTATTTTTTCTGCTAAGATGAAAGTAAACCTTACAAGGTCTTCTAGGACAGAGAACACTGCAAGCCAAGGGCTCTTTTTTTTTCTCCTGAACACTGTTCATTCTCTCCATCCTTAAGCTTGTTTTAAAAGAAAAAAAATTGATGTACTTCAAAGTAGTTAACACATGCCAGAGAGATAGAAGATCATTCTTTGCAGTCGATCCTGGGAGGATAAAGAGACGATGTTAACTCAGCAAGGTAGGAAATATTAATGCAGAGTTGTCTGAAGCAAGCCTACACACATTGTTTCAAGCAGCTCTTATTGATTCCAGAAGTTCAGTTTTGGTTCCTGGTGTGACCCACACCCACCCCCCCACTCCCCCCCACTCCACCCCACCCCACCCCACCCCACCCCACCTCCCTTGTAGTATCGAAAGCCATCTTGTCCAGCATCATGAGGTCAGAGGGAATAGAAACAAACAAAACGGAAAGAATGCTGGACCAGGCCTACTGCAAACTCACGTCAGGAAAAGATACATGGCAGGCAATCCTATTGTTTCTGCATGCCCTGCTGTGTCAGTTCCATCAGTTATAGACTCTGACTTTAGCTAAGACTATCTCAGCTTTAATGTCTGTTCTCCAGCTGCAGCACTGAACACATCCATATCGCTACCCAACAACACTATGTTCTGGAGTGATTTTTGAATTGTGATTACTTTGTTGTTATATTTTGTAGGAAGTAGAGTGAAACAATTGTGAATAAAATATATTAATATTAATTGGATTGTTAACAAGGAGAACTTGCTAGCCTGTTTTAAGGATTTGCGCTTCAGCACCTTCCATTCAGTTCGACTCTTTCATGATGCCAGAGTCTGGGAATTCAGTGGATGACTACATAACAACAAAAAAAACTAACTTTACTACTCTTACTGAAAAATGCACATTTTCAATATTTTAGCATGTTTTCTGTTCTGCATTTACGCACTTTTATTTCTATCAGTTTTTGTTTTGTCACTCCCTGTTGTTCTTTCTCTTTGCTGTCACCTCTTCATCATCAACTATGAAGATGGAGAATTCTTACAGGGAGTGACCTTTTTCTCTTAACTTTTGTTTTTAGTTTGCATTTTTTTTTCTGCTAAGTAATTAGAGGAGATAATATGATGGTGCTCAGACCCAATCTACCTGGCTCTGTCATATATGATATCTGGTGATAATATTTTGTCTTGTACAAAAAGAGTTTGTACATATATTGTACATGGTTTCATTTTGTATTTTTTCTCAAATTAAAATTGTTGTATTTGTGTTCAATGAAGCAACGTTGTGGGGTCCTTAGAGTCTCTGCTTTAATTTCACCAGTTGTGTCAGATCACCATTAACACGCAAAAGGCCTTTTAACGTTTATATTTTAGATCGAGTCTCAGAGACTCAGAGTACTTTGTTGCAACTGGTATTTGCTATTTCTTTTCACAGCTAAAATTCAGAAAAGCTTGTACCAGGGTCATTTTATCCCCATAAGAAAATACCTTTGAGATGTAGCAGAGGTTAGTGCAGGCTTTCAAGAGGAAAATCAGTGAGTTCAAGAACGAATAGGCGAAAAGGGGATACAGGCCTTTTTCATGACATGAGCTTCCATATTTCCCAAATTGCCAACTAGGACAAAATTAGGAAGAAATAAAGAGGTTTCAAGATGGATTAGACAAGTTTTGAGATTGAGCAAATACATCACAGATGCAGTAGGAAACACCTGGGTCCCACTTTGTACACTATTCACTGGAAGCAAGTGTGCTGATGCCGCAAGCAGTTAGAAAAGTATATGATTTGTTGGCTTTTCATTACAAGGGAGTACAGGAGTAAGGATGTTTTGCTGCAACTCTAAAGGGCATTGGTGAGACCTCACCCACAGTATTGTGTGTAGTTTTGGTCTCCTTACTTAAAATATATACTTACCATAGAGGAAGTTCAGCAAAGTTTCATCACCATGCTTCCTGGAATAGTAGGTTTGTTATATGAAGAGAGAGATCGGGTTGACTGAGCCAGTATTCACTGGAGTTTAGAAAAATGAGAGGAGATCTCATTAAAATTCTAGTAGGCTGGACAGACTGACAGAACTGGGACGAGGGCAAAACAAGGATGATGGTCTCTAAGTAGGCTATAGATTAGATAGGAGGAGAAACGTCTTCACTCAGAGGGTGGTAATGCTGCAGAATTCTCGACCACATAGTGAGGTGGAGGCTGAGTTACAACATAATTAAGAAAGAAATAGATGGATTTCAATGAATGACTGATCATTCAACTCAATAACCAGTTCCTGCTTTTCCCCATTTTCTTTGATCCTTTTAGCCAAAGGTGCTATATCCAACTCCTTCTTTAAATCATAAAATGTTTGTCCTAGACTGCCTTCTGTGCTGGTGACTTCCACAGGCTCACCATTCTCTGGATAAAGAAATTACTTCTCATCTCAGTTATAGAGTCATACAGCACAGAAACAGACCCTTCAATCCAACTCATCTGTGCCGACCAGACATCCCAATCTGACCTCGTCCCATTTGCCAGCATTTGGCACATATCCCTCTAGACACTTCCTATTCATATACCCGTCCAAGCACCTTTTATATGTTGTAATTGTATCTGCCTCCACCACTTCCTCTGACTGCTCATTCCATACATGAACCATCCTCAGATACTTTTCAAATTCTCCCCCCTCTCACATTAAACCTATGTCCTCTAGTTGTGGATGCCGCACCCTTTACTTGCCCCTCATAATTTTATAACCCTCTATAAAGGTCACCCCTCAGTTTCTGACGCTCCAGGGAAAAAGCCCTAGCCTATGCAGCCTCTACCTTTAGTTCAAACCCTCCAGTCCCAGCAACATCCCTATAAATCTTTTCTGCACCCTCTCAAGTTTAACAACATCCTTCGTACAGAAAGGCATCCAGAATTTTACCCAGTATTTCAAAAGTGGCCTCACGAATGTCATAGAGCCATAGACTTATACAGCACAGAAACAGACCTGTACAGCCACAACATGATGTCCCAACTCCTGTACTCAATGGGCTGACCAATGAAAGTAAGTGTGCCAAATGTTTTCTTCACCAACCTGTCTACCTGCGAATCCACTTTCAAGGAGCTATGTACCTGCACCCCTGGGTCTCTTTGTTTGGCAACACTCCCCAGGGCCTTACTATTAATTCTATAAGTCCTGCCCCTGTTGTCATAAATGCCCTACGCTGCATCCTTACACTGTGACCCCCTGGTTCTGGACTCCCCAGTTATCAGGAACACCATTCCTACATCTTAGTTTGATATAAGATCCCCCCATTCTTCTGAACTCCAATATAATCCTATATAATCAAATATGATCCTAACCAATTCAACCACTCCCCATACATCAGTCCCAGCACTGATGTCTGGGAAAACTTTATTACACTCTCTTGAAAGTGAGAACATCCTTTCTCAGATTAGGAGACCAAAATTGCACACAATATTCCAGACATGTTTTCACCAAGGCCCTGTATAATTGCAGCAAGATATCACTGCTCCTGTACTAAAATCCTCACAGCATGAATGCCAAAATACAGTTTGCCTTCGTTACCACCTGCTGCACCCACACATTTACCTTGTGTTCAAGGATAACCATGTCTCATTACATATCCTCTTCTTAATTTAAAGCCATTCAGATAACAATTTGCCTCTTGTTTTTGCTACCAAAGTGAATAACCTCACTTTGTTCACATTATACTGCGTTTGCCCACACACACAGCCTATCAAAATCACACTAAAGCATCTCTGCATCCACTTCACAGCTTACCCTCCCACCCAGCTTATATTTAGTTCCCTCATGTAAATCATATACACACATGTTAGCACTGATCCTTGCAGTAATCACTACCTACCATTTGGAAAAAAGACTCCTAATGTTCTTAGTCTTTATGCCTGTCTGCCAACCTGCTTTCTATCCATGTACCCTCAATCTTTGACCTCACTTTAATTTTATGTACTGATGCCTTCTGTGGGGCTTTGTTGAAAGCCTTCTGAAAGTCCAAATAAACTACATCTGCTGGCTTTCCCTTCTCAACTCTATGAATTACATCTGCAAAGATTCCACAACATTTGTCAAATATGATTTCCCTTTTGTACATCCATGCTGATTCTGTCCAATCCTGCCACTATTCTTCAATTTTCAGCTACTAACTCTTTTACAATGGACTCTAGCAATTTCCCCACTATTGACATCAGACTGATTGGTTTTCTCTCTGCTTCCTTTTTTAGATAGATGGGTTCCATTAGCTACCCTCCAATCTGTAGGCACTGTTCCAAAGTCTATAGAAGCTTTGATGATAAACACCAATTCATCCACTATTTCTAGGGATTCTTCCTTAAGTACTTGGAATGTACATTATCAGGTCTTGGGGATTTATCTGCCTTCCATCTCATGAATTTCCCCAGCACCATTTCCTTACTAATCCTGATTTCCTTCAGTTCCTCCCTGTCACTAACATTTCTGGTGTGTTGTTTGTTTCCTCCTTTGTGAACACAAAACCAAAGTAGTTAGTCAGTCATTTTCTTTTCTCCCCCATTATAAATTCCCCTATTTCTGACTGAGGGGTCTATGTTTGTTTTCACTGATCTTCATCTCTTCACATACCTATAGAAACTTTTACAGTCAGTTTTTATGTTGTCTGTTGGCGTACTCATGTTCTATTTTTCCTTTCTTAATCAACCATTTATCCTCCTTTGCTGAATTCTAAACTGCTCCCCATTTCTCAGGTCTGTTTTTTTTTGGTCAATTCGTACACCTCCTTGGACCTGATACTATTTTTAATTTTCCTCGTAAACCAAGATTTGGCTACCTTTCCCATTTTACTTTTGAACCAGACGGGAATGAATGATTGTTGCAGTTTATCCATGCATTCTTTGAATGTTTGCCACTGCCTTTCCACCATCATCCCTTTAAGTAATGGCTCCCGATCTACCATAGTCAGCTCGAGCCTCATATCATTATAGCTGCTTCTATTTAGATTCAGGACCCTAGTCTCAGAATCAACTACATCACTGTTCATCTTGATGAGGAATTCTGTTATGGTCACTCCTCCTAAAGAAGCCTTGCACAACTAGATTGCCAATTATTCCTTTCTCATTACACAACAACCCAGTCTATTGCGGGGAGCCTGTACTCTGGTTGGTTCCTCAACATATTAGTCCAGAAAACCATTCCATGTACACTCCTGGAATTCCTCTTCTATGATATTGTAATTAATTTGATTTGCCCAATCTATTTATCACTGACTCTATGCTGTATCAAAGTCACCCATAATTACAAATGTTCCTTTATTGTGTGTGTCTCTAACTTCCTGTTTAAT